TTTAGTTCTTTATTTTCTTTATTTTGTTGTGAATTTTCTCATCTTAATTGCAAAATTTCATTAGAGAATTCTTCCCTTTGCTGTTCATATTTGTCATTTGATAGACGAACAGAATGATATCATTCATAGTAGTCATTATCTCTTCATGGATTTTTCTTTCCTCTTCAATTTTATTTTTGAGATTTTCAATGTCTTCATGAGCTAAGTTTACATGTTCATTTGATTCATTTAATCTCTGTTTATTTTCTTGGTTTTAATCATCAAGATTTTCTACTTGTTGTTTAATTCTTTGTGATTTTTTCTTTCTCTTTCATAAAATTCAATATTAATTTTATTAATATTTATTTCATCTAGTAAAGTACTTATTGCTGCAGATAAAGTCGTTCATAAATGAGAAACTATTTTATTAACACCTTCTGGATTTATTTCTTCTTGTTCATCTAAAGCACTGAACTTATTGAAAATTTTGTTGCTTAATTCTTCAAGTCTCTTAATGTAATTAAAATCATCAGTTTCACCATTAATTTCTTCTTTAATTGCTGCAATATAACTATCAGGACAATTGTTCCACATGTTCAAAGTGCTATCTGCTGAAAATCTAATATTATCTTTCAATGTGTACTCATATTCAAGAAAATCTCTAAATTCTTTAACAACTTGAATTGTTTTCTTTTCATCTTCATTCAATTCTTCTAAATTCATAATGTTGATTTTTTAAATCAATTAATGATTTTTTGTATTAAGAATTATTCTCATATAAAAATGTAAACAAGAAACTCATTTATATCAGATCTACTATGGAATCCAAGAATTATAGTACTATTAGAAGCATCTTAAAAAAAGAACAAGGTGAGAAAATTGCACCTTACATTTTCAAAATAAATGATACTCAGACACTTGAAGCTTATCTAAGAAAAGAAAGGATTACCTATGAAATTTATCAAGAAGAAAGAAAAATAATAAATGTTGGGGAAAAGAAAGCAGGATGAGGATGTACAATTGCAAAACAAAAGACAGAAATCTCTGGGCAAAAAAGCCTAATGCAAAGTTACCATTATTTTGATTTTTTCAATAAAATTTTTAAATTCAATACCAATTATAATGTTTCATTCCAACTATAACTTTTTTTTTTGTGATTGAAACCTGATTTTTTTTTTCTTATTTTTTTTTTGCTTAAAACTTACTATATTAATAAGTAATCATGACCAAAAAAGAATGTTTTAATTGTCACAATACAAAAGAAGGTTTAACCTTTAATTGATGAGATGAAGAAGAAAGATAAATAACTAAGTTTTGCTGTTGATGCTGTTTCAAAATCTAGTCCAACAAGAGTTAAGCAATTGTGCTAAAATTATTTGGTAATATGGCCCAAATGTACAAATTGAATTTGCCAAATCCCAAATGTAGATCAGTTTTCCTGCCCAACCAATAAGCACTCAGTATTTGTGAAATTCCTTTGTTATACTGAATGTTTACTGGACAAGAAAGCAGTATGGTTTCTGTTCATAATACAAATTCTTATTCGAACTATTCGTAATACAGTTGACCTTTAATTCAAATTTAAAAGTTTATTCAAATTAAAAATTTAATTCGCTTTATTCAAATTATTTGTTTTATTTGTTTTATTCATTGTCAGAATCTTGGGATTGTTCATTCATTTATTAGATTATTTGGAATCATGGGTTGTTCAATTACTTAAATATTCAAACTATATATACAACAA